TGCAAACTCAGTGGTGTTTTTACCCCACGAATATGACCAAATGTTCCTTAAAAAAACGACATATTTTAAGATGTTATTGGAACTCTATGCGTAAAAATGCCTAGATTTGAATTCTATTTAATTTACAATTTACAGCCTGCCCTGATCCTCTGTTCAACGAGCTGGTGAAGAGCCGCGCTTCCAAAACCATCAAGACTCTGACGGAGATCAACATCGCCTTCTTGCCCTACGAGTCTCAGGTAAATATCCAACGGTGCATAATGGTCTTGTGTAATGATGGTTGCACTTGTGCTGATTATTCATTTATTTAGATTTAGACGTCTTAAACACAATCAGGCATAAAAATGTCTTTTTAAATGTGACAAAAACAGTGTGTGTGCACATCTGGACCATGGATTGTTTTCCCTCCTTGCCATATTCACCTTCTTTTCTTATGAAGCTAATTTCCATAACCTAACAAACAAAAAAAAACATGTTTTACAAATGTACTACTATCACTAACAAACACTGATTGATTAATTGTACTGAGGATTCTCACAAATGCCTTGAGTAATTTGCTCCCCACAACTGCAGGTGGCGCTATGAGTCAATTTCAGTGCGCCAAGAGGTTGAGCAGAGAGGCTTCTGCCAGCCACTGTGGACTATAGACTGTATAAAACATGGACATCATGTCCTTGACCGTCAACCATAGGTTTCTGAAGTGCATGGATGTAATAAAAGAAGCTGCTCAGTGGCATATGAAGCCAAAAGCATTAGGTACAGGTTTAAAATTACCAGTGCTGTATCCAAAAATCATTACTCATTCACCACTCCCTCTCTATGGAGTTCTATGTAGAGAACTACAGTGCGCACACAGGCAAAATGGAAATAACGCTTTCGGCCGTGTATGGAGCTAGCTAACTTGCTTAGCATCTGTAATTCAGGTTAACCGTCATGTTAACAGGGTTCACAATTTTCTGTAGCGAACAACAGTCTTAAAACTAAATGTACTCACCAGAAAAAGTGAACCGCCAACTCCTAATAACCTTTTCAACGCCACTGTTTAAATTTGCACAGTGCCGTGGGTACGAATCACTCCTGAGCCTGATTGCCATGGCAACGACTTAAATAATCCCGCCCTGAAGCATATTCTGCTTTAAGGTCTATTTTCCTCTAAATGGGACCACAATTTACTAAATGAACATCATGCTGTATTAAAAAAGACCTGAAACTAGCGATTGAGACCATAAACTCAATAGGAACTTGAAAAGAGGTGCTACAGCAATGTGCAGAATGACAAAAATATGTTTTTTTTGAAAATTCATCCATGTAAACTGCTCTGGTACAACCCCTAAATTACATTATGGACCTGAATATTTGCATAATATGACCTCTTTAACAATGTAAGTCTATGGGAAAAGTCTTTTGGGGCCGGTGTGCATCACGTCACGGAGCTGGGAGTTGTAATTCCATGATTTGGCCACTATGTCAAATTGGCTTCAAAGCACAGCACTCCTGCATTCAGCATTCCTGAGGGTTTGCTGAAGAGCCGTTGTGAAGCTCAATGTGGGCGCCGGCCATCACTATCTTGGCAGTGCCTGACTCTGGCTAATGCAAAAGTAGGCAAAGAGTTGGAGCTGAGGCAGGCTGAATAAGACCTGGTGGCTGAACCACCTAGCGGCAAGCCTCCTGAGAGGGCACCCACCTGTCAGTCATGCATAACATTAAGCGTTAATATAATTTAAACGGGTGAATTATATAAAAAACCACCCCCTGCACACTTGGCATGAACAGCTGTCATCCTCTTGTCCACAGTGGCTGACAGCGGCGGTTCAATCTGCCCTCCTCTGCTCTGCTCAACCCCCCTGGCAGTTAAATTGACTCAGAGTGCCACCTGCTGTTTGCCGAATTACTAGGACATTTGTAAGAAACTCCTTAGCACAATCACAGCGGAAACATTGTGCCAAATGCCACATGATACTATCTTGTCTTTGTAGGATATATTTTTGTACTCATAAGACTGTACTTGTTTCTGAAGCATGATGTATTAGAACTATGTGAAATATTTCCACAACAAAATGCATGTCTGTTAATGTTTTATTTGTTTTGCAAACCACACTGTGTTTGTAAGTGAATCGTAGGGCATTTTTAAAACATGTTTTGATTGTTTAAGCCTTGGCAGAAAATTAGCTCCATATTTTCTCCTCTTAGCAGGAAATGAATGAAAGTTGATTCACATTTATTGTTTGCTAGCAAAAACCAGAGACAAAGAAATGCAGCGGGAAATCGATAAAGACAGGTGGTAGGACAGAGATGCTGAAAGGACACAGACAGGAATAGTAACAGCGAGGTTACTGGTTGTTTGAGTCAGGGATGGATAGAAAGAGATGGAGGGAGGAGAGAGAAACACAAAAACCCTCTCTTGGCATAATGCTGCTGACTCACCAGTCACTCTGTTTACTGCCAGATTGTTCCAAAAAGACTCACATTTGTCACATTGCTTCTCCACCTTTGCTATATTTCCAAATTCCTACCTCCATCATGTTTTTCCTCCTCCTGTTTTCTCTTTTTTCTATCTCGCCATTTCTCCATCCTTTCTTTTATATGTTGCTTGTGCTCTCTCTGCTCACGGCTCTCATCAAGCTTTTCATTTTTTCTTCCTATTATATTTATTCTTTCCCTTCCTCCAACCATATTTTTCTTAATTTTCCCCGTCCTCCACTCCCCCTCCTCTCCTTCTATGTTCCACATCTCTCCTTCTGCCCATCCTTCTCTCTCATAAAGATGCTGTTTGGCCCACAATGCTTTACTCCCCTCCTGTCTACTATGATTAATTCAGAGTCAGTGGTTTTCTGCTCCAGGCTATGTGCTGCCTCATTGCCCCGCCCACAGGCTGATACGCTCGCCCCATTGGATGAGTCAGGATCCACACAGCAAGTGGTAGCCAATGGTAAACGGGCTAACAAAGGGACGCTTCTGCAGAGCAGCATGTGACCGTGGACAGATGGGGTGGGAGGAGGGAGTGGTGTGATGCATGTATGAGAAAAGGGGAGGAAACAAGGACAGGAGAGTAGAGGAGACAAAACAAGAGGACAAGAGGACAAGAGGCAAAAAGAAATGAGAGGATAGGAAACAAACAAATGAAAGAGGAAAGAGGAGGGATGTAGTGGAAACAGGGCAGATGAGGAAAGTAGAAGAGTAGAAAAGATAAGGAGACACAGGAAGAGGAAAGGAGATGGGAGGAACAAGGAAATTAAACAGGAGACGAGGTGAGAGGACAGAAGAGAATTGGTGGCAGGTGATGAAACAAGGAAACAAAAAGGAGAGGAAAGAAGAGGTTTAGAAAGGAGATGAGAGGACCGCGAGGAGGATGAGGACACGAGAGAAGGAGAGGAAACAAGAGGAAACGGCAGGAGAGATAAGACAAGGAGGATAAACACAAAGGAGAGAAGATAACAGAAGAGGAGAGAATATGTAAATCAGCTATGTTTGATATCATCACAAGACCTCCAGCTTGTATTTAATACAGCAAGATAACATGCTGTCTGTGCACTGTGTCCTGCTGCATTTTACACAGAGCAGTTCATGTTTCTACATGATGCTGAAACTCTGTTCAGATCAATAATTAGTCTTTATATGGTGGAATCTGTTCATGAATTTAAAAACACAAAGGGTTTCAGTCAGCAGCAGCAACTCTTTGAGACAAAGACTGTGCACATTAAGTAAAAAAAGGATGTTGGAAGGTGGAAAAGATCAAATCAACAAAAGTAGGTAGGTAAGAAACTGTTTTGCTGAGGCAATGTTTACGCTGTGTGCATGTTTGTGTGTTCAGGTGTACTCTCTGGACAATGCAGACGCCTTCCACAGTTTCTACAGCCCACATAAGACCCAGCTGAAGAACCCGGTGATGGAGAGGCTGGCCGAGCAGCTGGCCACGCTCTGCGCCACCCTGAAGGAGTACCCTGCCGTCAGATACCGAGGGTGAGCGGCAGTGGGCATTTTAGAAGTCAAGGAAATATTTGGACAGATCAGGTGTTAAAGCTAACCATGGGCGCTACAGTGAAGATGTTGGCCTGCATTTGTCGAACTACTAAGTGTGAAAATTTGAAAGACCACATTTCTTTTCATATCGAGCTCAGGAGACATCAAAACTACAGCGGCCGCGATGGGTCATCTTAACGGTGGCTGACTTATTATCTGTTCAGCTGTAATCCCTGCCCTTATCTGTCTACACTGCTCAGCTCTCTCTGTCCATTCTCACTACTTGACAGACCTCAATCAATTAAAAAAGTAATTAAATGTAATTATTAGAGCACTGATTCAGCATATTTGCTTAAATGAATGTTTCCCCCCTTTGAGATCTGTGTCCTTTTGGGAACTGCAGCAGGGACAGAGGTCTTACACACCTGCCTGCCACTCAAATGCTTCCAAAAGTATTGGTTATCAAAATGTTTTTTTCTGTCTTTTCTTTATGTTTTTGCTCATCTGCTTGCTTGAATGTGTATCTTTGTGTCCAATATCCGTCCATCCATCTGTCTGTCATTCTGTTAGCGAGTACAAGGACAATGCCACCCTGGCCCAACTGGTTCAGGACAAACTGGACGCCTACAAGGCTGATGACCCCACTATGGGAGAGGTAAGCTCAGGAGAATACTTTTTTTGTCGCCATATATTCCTGCTTTGTTTTTACCTGTTGTCTGTTACTGAGAATGTACTTATCACATGTATTATGTAAGACATGTTGTACGTTTTTATATCTTATAGCTATACCTTTTATTCCTGTATCTGTTTGTCCTTCTCTCTGTAGGGTCCAGATAAGGCTCGCTCACAGCTGATCATCCTGGACAGGGCGTTTGACCCCGTCTCTCCTGTCCTGCATGAACTCACCTTCCAGGCCATGGGCTACGACCTCTTGCCCATCGAAAACGATGTGTACAAGTATGAAAAACACAAATGACAAAACAGAAAAATGATTACTTGTGAGGGCTATGTTTCAATTTTAATTAAGGTGTTGGTTAAAACTCGGACAAGATATTCATATCAGCTTCAATCACAAATGTGGACCTAAATTTGTTTCAGTCAGGATGTGTGTCTTGTTTTTCTTCAGGTATGAGACGAGTGGCATCGGAGACTCTCGTGAGAAGGAGGTTCTGCTGCATGAAGACGATGACCTGTGGGTGAGCCTGAGACACAAACACATAGCGGAGGTGTCCCAGTGAGTACTTGTTTTCATACTCTTGTATATCTCTTCACTCAGTCTTTGAATACTGAATTAAGCGCTATGACGACCTTTCTCTCATGTGTTGCTGCTCCTCCTTTGCTGTTTGTGTTTTGTCATTAGGGAAGTGACACGCCAGTTGAAGGAGTTTTCTGCCAGCAAGCGGATGAACACTGGGGAGAAGGTGAAGAGGGAGCTGCAACAGAAAATGTTGATTAGATGATGTGTATAGTCTGAACATACAGTATTGACAAGATAGTGGTGCGAAGTGATCAACTGCTCATTTTTAAGAAACAGTTCTATATCTTGGCGAAATACGCTTATTCATTGTCTTGCTGAGAGTTAAATAAGAAGGTCGATACCACCATGTCTGTCCATTAAATATGAAGCTGAAATCAGCAGGTGGTTAGGCTAGCTTAGCATAAAGACTGGAAGCTATCCTGGTAAAACCACCACTTGTTTTTACATTTTTGGGGATGGATTAAATAAATGAGATAATATTAGTATAGTGAGCTTTAGAGGTGCTGGTAGGCAGATTATGTTTGGACACAGCCAGGCTAGCTGTTTCCCCCTGCTTCCAGTCTTTAAGATAACTCACTACTGGCTGTAGCTTCACATTTAACATAAAGACATGAGAGGTACATCTAACTCTCTGCAAGAAAGCAAACTATTTCCCAACATGTAAAATCTTTTCAGAAAATGTAAACAGTATTTAATTTAATTAATTAAAAAACTTTTGTCAGCATCATTTGGCAGTAGAAATTAAAAGTCTTGTTTCTATCTTTTGTTTCTTTTGACATTTGTAGCAAAAAGGACAAACAGGATTATAATTCATAATTATTAGATTCAATCAAATCTAGTTGATCAAGACTTCAAATAGGAACAGCTTTATGTTTTCTATTTCCAAATAGAATAAATTACTTTTCTAACTAAACTCTTCAAGTGTTGAGTGGCCAACTGGTTGTTCTGCCATTAGAAAATCCAACATAAATATGGTCCGATATTAATAATTTCGATGTCTATTTTATTATATCTTGCCCTGATGTTGACATCATCACACTTTTAGCTTTTGTTTTTGTTTTCAGACCACAATGAGGGACCTGTCCCAGATGCTGAAGAAGATGCCTCAGTACCAAAAGGAGCTCAGCAAGGTGTGTGTGTGTGTGTGTGAGAGAGGGAGAGTTTTCCAGAAATGTGTATGCTGAACCTGCGTGTTTTGTGTTTTTCAGTACTCCACTCATCTGCAGCTGGCTGAGGACTGTATGAAGCATTACCAGGGAACAGTGGACAAACTGTGCCGTGTGGAACAGGTGAGAGGGCAGGCGAGAGACGAGAGGAAAGCGGGGGATAACAGGGCTTTCTGAAGTCTCCAGTCATTAAAATGCTTTTATAATCCCTTGAAATGTGTATTCCAGGGGTTTTAAATGACAAACATATGATACCTGCGCTCTGTGTTACAGGATCTGGCTATGGGCACAGACGCTGAGGGAGAGAAGATCAAAGACCCCATGAGAGCTATCGTGCCCATCCTGCTGGATGCCAACGTCAGCACATATGACAAGATCCGCATCATCCTGCTCTACATTTTTCTCAAGAATGGTAAGAAATCAAATCTAAATCTTGTAAAAACTGCTAAACTTTGTTTTTTTGTTTTACATGGTTTTTATTGCTTGTTTAAATTATTTGCACTCTTTATTGTTGCTTCAGCTGTTCTGATCACCCTTTTAAATATCATCTCAGACTTGCGAGTATTAGAATTACATTACAATACATAGGACCTGTTGTACAGAATTGTACAGGGACATTAGCCAGATATTTCACTGCACAGTTAAAACTTGAACATTATAATAATTTCTAGATTTTCTTGTCACTGACTAAAGCTTTAGTAAGTTAGTTCTTAGGTCAGACATAACCTAATAATAAGCTGTTCAAAGGTATATTTTATACTTCCTGTTTATTACAAAGATTTGAGTTTTAATATAACGATTTTATTTTTGCACTCAAGTTACAAAACCTGCCGTTCTGGGGCTCCATCCCAGAACAAACTCAACATATTAAATGTAAACATACATGTTTTTCAGTTGCAAGTTGCTGTGTGTGTGTGTGTGTGTGTGTTCAGGCATTACGGAGGAGAACCTGAACAAGTTGATCCAGCATGCTCAGATCCCCCCTGAGGACAGTGAGATCATCACCAACATGGCTCACCTGGGCGTCCCCATCGTCACAGATGTAAGGTCCTCCCTGGGTGCCGCTCCTCTTTTTATTTCTTTTCTTCTTCTCTCTCAGTATCGCCGTCTGCTTTCTATCATCTCGTTGGGATTGATGTGCACTATGAGTCTGCACTCCTGTACCTCTCACTCACCTTTATTTGCAATGTCTGTACAATATCCTCTCCTCGTTCAGTGTGCAAGGATGAAATCTTGCCAGACAATATGAAAGACCTACAGGTGATTGTGGTCACCAATGCTTTTGTCCTTTTATACACATTCTCTCTTTCAAGTCTTTGTCTCTTCTTTAGTCCACCCTCCGCAGAGGAAAGAAGCTGGACAGGAAGGAGCGTGTGAGCGAACAGACCTATCAGCTGTCCCGCTGGACACCACTGGTCAAGGATATCATGGAGGTGTGTTTGAAGGGCTATTTCATTAGTCATATACAGTATTGCGCAAAAGACAGGTGTGGAAAAAATGCTGTAAAGTAAATGGGTTCAAAATAGACATGTTTATAGATTGTATTTATTAATAAACAAAATGCAAAGTGAGTGAACAGAAGACAAATCTAAATCAAATCAATGTTTGCCTTTAAAACAGTATCAGTCCTTCTAGTTAAACTTGCTCAAAGTCAGACATTTAGGCGAACTGTCAGGTGTATGATTAAACAGTTATACCAAACAGGTGCTAATGATCACCAATTCAATATGTAGGTTGAAACACAATCATTACCTGAAACAGAAACAGATGTGTAGGAGGAATCTAACTGGGTGAGGAACAGCCAAACTCAGCTAACAAGGTGAGGTTGTCTAAAGTCGTACACCATGGCGACTGAGCACAGCAGCAAGACACAAGGTAGTTATATTGCATCAGCAAGGTCTCTCCAAGGCAGACAGGGGTTTTCAGATGTGCTGTCAAAGATCTTTTGAAGAAGCAAAGAAACGTGCAACATTACGGAACGTAGAAAAGTGGACGGCCAAAGAAACTGACTGCAGCAGAAGAAAAACATATCATCCCTTTACAATCAGAAGATGTCGAGCAGTGCCATCAGCTCAGAGCTGAAGAAAACAATGGGACCCTGTTACACCCATCTACTGTCCGGAGGTCAGAAGTGGCCTTCATCAAAGACTTGCGGCCAAAAAGCCATACCTCTGACAAACAAGGCAAGTGACTTACCTATGCACAGTAACAGAAACTGGGCTGGAGAAAAATAGCAGTTTGTTGCTCTGGACTGATAAGTAAATATGTGAAATATTTGGCTGTAGAAGGCAGGTTGTTCAGTGAAGGGCTGGAGAGTGGTATACAAATGAGTGTCTGCAGGCAACAGTACACAAATATGGTGGAGGTTCATTGCAAGTTTGGTGCTGCATTTCTGGAATGTAGTTGAGGATTAGTACAGGCAGATACTTATTCATCATGCAATACCACCATGGAGGCATCTGATTGGCCCCAAATTTATTCTGCAGCATGACAACAACCCCAAACATACAGTGAAAATCGTTAGGAACTATTTTCAGTTCAAAGGAGTCTTGGAAATGGTGGTATGGCTCCCACAGAGCCATGATCTCAACATCATTGAGTCTGTCTGGGATTACATGAAAAGAGAGAAGCAGCTGAGGCTGCGTGAAACTGTGGATAGTTCTCCAAGATGTCAACCTACCTGCCAAGTTCTAACAAAAACTATGTGCAAGTGTGCCTTTAAGAAGTGATGCTGTTTTTAAGCAAAGGGTGGTCATACCAAATATTGTATACAGTATATAATTATGATTTGATTTAATAATTAGATTTTTCTTCTGTCTCTCACTAATTGATAAATCTATCTATAAATAACCTATTAACTAGGGTTAGGGTTGAAAATTCTTTTACTTTACAGCACTTTCCACACCTGCCTTAAACAGTACTGTAAATTTAATTTGGTGTGTGTTTTTAAGACAAATAGGGTTTTAACCTGCTGTCCAGCAGCTATATTGGAGGTTCTCTTCTTTATAGTTAAAAAACATCCTTGCAGTAGGTGTGTTTCTTTTCTTCTTCAAGCACACCTAAATTGTGGATCTAAAAACAACGAACAATTTTAGGCTAACAGAATTGTTTGCTTTTCAGTTGATGTACACCCAACATTTATACAACCTTAGTCAAATATCTGATTTTCCAGCCTGGTTATCATCAGCTATATTTAGCCCCTTATTTGTGCAAGGCCAATTCTCCAATGGACCTCCATGATGGAGCCACACATGGTTGCTAAGAGACATGACACAACTGTGAAGCCCCTATTGATGTGTGTTTGTGTGCGTGGTGAAGGCGGACAGTATTGCTGTCAAAGATCTGTTTTGTCTTTTTGACCCCCACGAAGGATGCTATTGAGGATAAGCTGGACACCAAGCACTACCCCTACATCTCCACCCGCTCCTCTGCCTCCTTCAGCACCACTGCAGTCAGGTACACACAAACACACACACACACACACACACACACACACACACACATATGCACACAGTGTTCCATCTCATTGTATAGTAGCAGCCCATTTCAAACTAAAAAGCCAGAAATGATGGTATTAGATCAATAGTAATTTGGGAAGGGAGATGAGTCTAACCGATCAATACTTGATATAAATTGAGGGCAAGGAGGTGATGCTGAAGAGTGGCAGGTTAGTGAGCCGTGTACAGATCTCATTGCAAGGATAGGAGGCATGATAAGAGCTCAGACATTCACTAACTCTTATATATATATTTTAATGAGGAACAACATCTATAGAGGAGTTAAAACTGGGCAGGAGCATCTAATAATTAGAACTTTTTAGAAATTGACGATAGATGTTTACACATTTTGAAACTGACTCATTTGAATCTCATGAAATTATTGGATTCATAAAATTACCTGCAGTCACAGGAGGTAAAAAGTTAAAAAAAGTTTGTAAAAGACTGCTGAAATGTTTCCTTCCTTGCATGTGTGTGTGTGTGTGTGTGTGTGTGTGTGTGTGTGTGTGTGTGCGTGGTTGTCTATGAGGGGGTGTGATGAAGCCACACTGAGCCCCACTAATCAATACACTCCTGCCTGTGTGGAAGTTTCTGGCCTGTATTGATTCAGCATCAAATCCTCTTCCATTACAAACTGATCTGCCTCATTGGCTGTCCTTCCCCGACAGACCCAGCACTGAGGTTCATATTAGTACACATATAGGTTAGTCAGAGGAAAGCTGCACAGATGCGGATGAAACCTCTGATGCTTGGCTTTAAGTCAGCTTATTTGGTTTCATTGGCTATAATTAATATTTTGTATATTATAAACGTATCAAATAGTCATGTGTGTAATATGAAAGAATTTGCTTATAGAGACAAACCCATGGAATTATCACCAACTCTACATTTCCCTCAGCTCTACAGAGCTTTGTTTTGGTTTTCAAGCAGTTGGTTCACTCTTATTGCTCTCATAGTGTGGTTTTTGGCAGCAACAGGCAACTGTTTTTGGTGAAAAAAAGCTCTAGTAAATCCACTCTACAATACCTGCCCAGCACCAAACGGCAGAACAAGTTAGCAACTAGCTGGAGCAAAGCTCATACTTTTCTAAAACCAGAGAGGAGGAACCAAAAAACAGAGCTATAAGAATAATGAATATTGAACTTAATCACCTGGAGTCCAGAAACACAACTGCAATAAGGTTCTGTCCGTTATATAAAGACATCTGACCCAAGCGTAATATGTTCAGTTTGTGCTCTTGTTTTCTATAATCCTTTCTTGGTTGACAAACACACTACACACCGATGTCAGATGGTCTGCGTCCAGCAATAGAAAAGAAAATCAAAAGTGAATTTCTATAGTCTGCAGATATTTGACATAACAATATGTGGCGGTTAAATTTGTCTTCATACACTGCATCATCATCTTTCCATAATATTGGTGGGTAATGTGATTTTACTCACAAAATATTGTTGTGAGAGAATGGTAAAAAAAAAACAATGAAGATGCCAAAAAACAAAACAAAACCGAGCTATAAAACTGTAATAACGTGACACTGTTTTCCTTTCTCCTCTGGCAGTGCTAGGTACGGCCACTGGCACAAGAATAAGACACCTGGAGAGTACCGCACTGGCCCACGTGTCATGGTCTTCATCATCGGTGGCGTGTCCTTCAGTGAGATGCGCTGTGCCTATGAGGTCACACAGGCCAATGGGAAGTGGGAGGCCGTTATTGGTGAGTAGTGCAACAGGAGGCGCCGCTGAGCGCAAGCTGAGAGAAAGAACGAGGGTTCATATATGTAGGCTTTGGCCGTGGCTAGTCAAAGATACATCCACGACAACCTTAAGGAGTAACTTAACAGCCCCTGAAAATGGAATTGAAACTTCCAACCTGAGAGGGGCAGTAAAACACTGCTTTTCAGTCTGGTGTTAAGTTACTCTTTAGAGTACCACAGATTGGACGTGTCTGTAAAAGCTGCGTCCTAATTCAACAGCCACGTCATGTGGAGCATTTTCAGAGGACTGTGTGAAGTCAGACCGGCAGGTGCAGGTTGAGTCTGGCCTTCAGGCCCTCTGGAGGACACAGCTTCTGAACCGGGACACAGCTTAAAAATGAACAAAGATGGAGGGGAAAGGAAGCATGGAAGGAACCACTGTAAGTCAGGTGAACAGTGGACAGTCTAACCCTTAGGTGGAAGTGTGAATTCAGTATATAAAAGGAAAGATTAAGCTCTATAAGACGTGACCTTATCAGAATCTGATTTTTTTTTGTTTGTCAAAGCATGGGGTGAAATTAATTGTCCTTTTTTCAACATAATCCAAGTTTTTAAGAGTTAAAAAAAAACAGTCACTGACCAAAATAATATATTCACCACTGGCAAGCTAGACCTAAAAATAGCATATAGTTTTAGAATCAATAGAAGATTAAATGTGATTTGATATTTCAGTAATGTTACGTCAGGTAACGACAAAATGACAACTCAGGTGTATGTTCAAGTTTTGTGAACAGAACCCACCCAAAACACAAATCCCCAATACACACACATCAGTTTCCTAACAACCACACACTTCACATGTAATCCCGTGTCTGTGGAAGGTGTAGCTGCAGATAGCTGTTACAACCAGCCTACTGTGTGCAACGTGTTCTGTTAAAATAGCCCTTTATGTTATGCCCCTCTGTACTGTTTGTTTGATGTCTTAAAGCTTCGCCAGCCAGTCTGTGTTACAAATGGAAAAGTGTCTTGTTAGTTTTTGTTGTGCTCTGCTTCAGCTGTTGTCTTTTAAAAACAACTGTTGTCTTTGAATTGCAGCCGCGCCATGTCTTCTTCTTATGTGTCTGTGTGTCCAACTTTTATGTGTCTGTGCAACATGGCGAGCGTGTGCCTGTGTGTGACCTGTCGGTGGACGAGTGTGTCTCTGTGTGTATGTGCTGTGCGACGGGTTGCTTGTTTTAACCCTTTTGTTTTTTGGAGCGAGTGGGGGAGGGGGCGTGGCATGTGCTGAGAGATGAGTGGTGAAGCCGCCTCTGTTCCTCCACAGGTGCCACCCACTTGCTCACCCCCACCAAATTCTTATCGGACCTGCAGCACCCTGACTTCCGAGAGTCCACTAGGGTGTCCTTTGAGGACGCAGACCCCTCAGCCGAGTGAGGCAGAGACAGATTGGGAGGGAGGGAGAGAGAAATCACACTGAAAAAAGTAAAGGCAGCCGTGCAAAGAAGCCCTTTCTGAACCTTCACAGCACAAGGGCTTCCTCGTTCCTTCTTCTTTGAACACTCAGTACTGTTTTATGTAACTCCACCCTCCTCCTCCCCGTGTCCCTCAGGGATGGGTACCCCCGACCTCTCCTCACTGCATGGACTGCTCTGTCAGGCTCCAGTCTGTGTATACTGAGCATTAGCCAATCAGAGTGGGAGGCCTGGTGTCAATACAGGAAGGCTGAATCCAAATGTCTTCACCGCACTTGCAGACCACAGTCCAAATCCACAATTCACCAAGTTCCCAAAGGGACTCATGTGGGCTTTCTGCAGACTTCTAGAGAGTCTGCTTGAGGTGCAGACTTCACCCAACAGTAATTTAAAATTGCAGACACAACAATATATAAGCTATAAATGTAAAAACCAAAACCCATACAAGTAGGAGATATTACTTGCATCACATAGAAACAATATTTAACCATACAATATTGTAGAAATATTTAGAAGAAAGTTGACACTAAGATGCATCAATATGTGTGCAATGTGTCTGATTAGGGGTTTACATATGTAGCCTCGCAAAGTTGACATGCTGACGGTGAGCACATCAACTTTGTACAATAAATCAATCCGCAGGGCCCTTGAGTCCAGAGGGTGGACATTTGAATTCAGCCCAAGCAAAGTCTGTGCTGAAGAGCGGCCATGTCTGAGGGGGTCGTGACCCCATCCCTGCTGCCTCCTCCCATCATCTCAACTGGGTGGATTAAATCGGCCCTCGACAGCCACCCAAAGGCCCTTTGAGCCTCTTGAAATCTCACTCCAGATTTAATCTACCCCGAGATCCATCTTTATCAGTTTTTCCTGTCACATTATTTTTCTAGTTTACCCTTTGCAAAGACAATCACCTTGATTTGTTACTGGTTTCTTTCAGAACAGGTCCTAGAGTTGATGTTGGATTTTAAAGAAGGATTCTCCTTTTTTCCTTGTGTTTTGTTTTTCTTTTGACTCCCAGTCCTCTGACTCCGTCCATGTCACTTTCGCTTAGCCTACCATCACATGCTCACATGGCTCATGGCTCGTCCGCAGAGGGTGCTAAATGTTTGCAACAAATCCTCTTTATCATAATAATACTTTCAGGGTGCTGACACACCTGGCAATTTTGGGGGCAACATAGGTAAAAACAATGATTTCAGAAAATTCAGTTCAGTTGCCCCAAAAGTTGCCCTTTGTAGCATGGCCTCTATGATGCCTCTCTGCTGACAGAGTCTGGCAATGTAGCAATGTTCCACCTGATACGCTTTAGCAACCTAATAAAAAGTAAGGATGCCTCACATGTCAAACAGATGGCACTAACCCCTCCTCCCCCCTAATGCAGGGAGACCCTTCCAAAACTCATCCCTTACACCAGTAACTAGCAGACTTTCAATTTTCAGTTTATTGATGCAGGAACACAGAAACATATACAGGCTCTTGAAGAACTTAACTCAGAAGCTGAACCAAAATACAAAATGTTTAGTGTTTTTAATCTACATTCAAATACACACACTCATTGCCACTGAGGTTTGTCCATTTAAATGAAAACTTTTGCAGTTGATGTATGCATGGGTTGTCTAAATGCATTTAAGGGTTCCGGCAGTTTATTTTAAATAGGCCACACTTCCAAGAATTTGGCAACTATTTCAAGTAAAATGGTTTGGAAAAAGATTTTTTTAATAACTGGATAAAATGTGTAGTGTTGAAATGTCAACTGTTGAAAAAAGTGCCTAAAATTCTGTCAGGAAATCGATTATAGATTTGTTTTGAACCAAGTTGTTAAGGGAAACTAACTCTTATTCCTCAATTCAGAAGGTTAGGTGATTTGTAAATAGCCACAAGGTGACACTATCTGCACCAAAAATCAAAACATAACCTTGTTGGCAGAGGTAATAAATAATAACTATTTGCATAAATATCCATGACTACCTCATTGCCTGTTTCTGTAATTTATTAGTAAGGCTACCTTTATAAACACATTCCCATTAAAGGTTCAGTGTGTAATATTTAGGAGGATCTATTGACAGAAATGCAATATAATATCCATAACTACGTTTTCAGTGGCGTGTAAAGACCTTACATAATGAACCGTTTTGTTTTTATTACCGTAGAATGAACCATGTCTGTTTACATACACTGCAGGTCCTCTTACATTGAAGTCACAATGTTGCGCCGCAATGTTTCTACAGTAGCCCAAAATGGACAAATGGCTTTACAGAGTGCGTTTCATCCAGGTTCCGACACTACGCTGAAAACGTACGAAAAAGAAGAAGTAGTAGTCGTTATGGCTGAACGATTTGGGGAAAAAATATAATTGCGATTTTTCTGCCAGATATTGCAATTACAATTTGATTTTTGATTTTTTTGTTGAAGTTTTGCTGAAGTTCAATATTCACTGCCAGTCTATTTTTGACAGAAGCCGCGTCAAGCAGCACAGAGCAGATGAACCAGGCAGGAAGTCCGACACAGAACGGCATAGAGAATCCGGTCGATTTTCAAAATAAAACACCCTTTGCAGACTCCCGATAGTGTATCAACAATAAACACAGTTAAAACAGACAAAAAGAAACAATTTAACTACGTAGCTACTTAACCATAGAAGCACAAAAATAAAGGACAACTGAACAAATAAGCGAAATCTGAACAAGTCAGCAAATCATTCTGAAATGCTCCGTGTGGATATTTAACGTTAGCCTGCAGAGAGCGGAGCGGAACGGGCTATCAGAGAGCTGTTATCCATAGTTGAAGCCCAGTAATTAACAAATTAACAATAACAACACATTAACAACGTGTAGGCTGAACGCTCCGCTACTGAAGCTTCAGTGTGAGTTGACGCCGGAAACGTTTTCCTCTAGTTTTGTTTGAGTGTGTCAGCCACCTCCTGCGCTTTTTCAAAAGGGAGGATTGAGCAGTGACTGAGCCGTTGGTTGCAATTCGCAACCATCACCACTAGATGCCACTAAAACTTGCACGCTGAACCTTTAAAACTGGATAGAAAGATAGAACGTTGTAGTTCTGGGCATCCATCTCATCCCTAACTAATCTGCTAAAGCGATATCGTTTACAAACCAACTTTTGGTTTTATGGTTTTCTCTGTAGGCAGCTTTCACCATAAGCAGTATGGCTGCTCCCACACATACTGCTGCATTCAACACTTCCTGAGCAAAATGGCCATCACTTACTAAAACAAACTCTTTGTTTTTGTTATGCTATTTTGGTCTAAAACCTAGACATGTACAGTAATAATTTAGTGGCGTTGGAGATCAATGTCACAGTGTTGTGTTTCTGGGGCAAAAAAGGCCCACGAAGCTGTGTGTTTGGGGAACAGCAGAGAAGCAGGCGAGGCCAGTCCGACGTTGACCTCCGTGACCCACACTAAACACCCACCCCCACATCAACATAACAACCCAACTCGAGATGGGCTTGCCTCTTTCTCTTCTGCTTTTACCTTTACCTACCTCTACTTCCTGTTCAGACCTCTCCTAGGATCAAGTTTAGTTGGACTGTAGGTTAATGTCTTTGAGGTAAAGCAGCTGATCGAACCAAATTGGGAGAAACACGCAGCTTTGCAACAGAAACAAATCAATGTAGGTCAGCTACTGTTGATAATGTTGAGCAGGTGTGAGGAGTAAATCAAATGGTTTGTTTGGCTTTTTTATGACAAAGAATTAAGATGGCAGTAATCAATCTGTAAATCTGGTTAACGACAAACAAATTTAGCAGTAAGTTTGCTTTACTCCAGTCTAGCACCTTCCAGGTTTTACCTTGTCTGAAATGTGTCTTCAGCTGTCACAACAGTTCATCCCTGTGTTATTAGTAGTAGATTTCCACATTTTCATATTTATAGCAATAGACGCAACTTTCTGGTTTTGGATTTGGACATGTAGAGACAATCCGCTTTGGTTTGTTTTGCAGTATTTTTTTAGCTATCTGAATTATGCATGCTCTTTAGTTAAAGGCCCACACCTGTCATGTGTACATTTTTCTAACACCTGATTGGCTGTGCTGTGTGGACAATTTTTGTGTTGCAGGATTGCTAGTAGCCCAGCTACTGCTTTTTGCTCCAATAGGTATGAGAGATGTATGAGAGCTGTGTGGTGTCATCAATGATTTTTGTGCTTACATATTGTTCAGCTGCATGTGATTTAACACAGCTTTATGGGTTTGTCTCAGGCTGTATGTTTGTAGAGGGAAAGACTCAAGAGTATTGAAGTGGAATACATTTCCATCTTACTTTACACAGAAAAATCAAGATTAAAATATTTCACCTCTAAAACAAGTGAAATAAAATGAAAATCCTTGATTTTGGACATACAAGGTCATACCTCTAGTGTTGGAGATTTACCCACGTTAAGATCAGTTAAAAGAGTACACGTTCCTACACAAGCTGAGACATTTTTCTTCGTTAATATCTAAAATTGACTGAAGCAAGACAGTTTTCAGGACTTTTAAAGATATTCTTCTGAAGACAAGATTTTTACTAGACAACAGATGTTTTATGAGCTTCAGTTGAACGCATAATCTGAATATGCAGTGTAACTGCAGCTATAAGATAAATCTAGTGAAATATAGAGTACAAAGTATCCCTCTGAAATGAAATGCAGGTTAGAAAAACACTATTACAATATTACAAATACAGGAAGCACCTAAACATGTGCTTGAGTACAGTAAAAGTACTTAGTTACCTCCCACCTTTAGAATTTGTTTTTCAAACTCTTTGGTACGTGATCCATTTTAACCTTCTGGCTAATTGATTTATGATTTTATAACTTTGGGTTGCTCAGTGTTTCTATTTTTACTTTCAACATTATGTGAGCCTGCCCTCATCTACAGTATATTCATAGCAAGAGCTGAAAACACATTTTTGTCATCAGTTTATTTCCAAACGTGCAGATCTAATGCTGTGTGTGTGTGTGTGTGTGTGTGTGTGTTCTATGCATGTGTGTGTCTCCAGGATCGACCAACATCTTCACCCCCACCACCCTGCTGGAGCAGCTCAAGGCCATGAACAAACCAGAAGAGGAAGTGACAAGCTAAAATCCTCATATCACATCTCTCTCCGCTTTACCTTAACCCTGACTACCCCCTTAACATCCCCACCAAAACCCTACTTTAAGTGTGTATGCATCTTGCTTGAGAAGAAAAAAAAAAGACATCTCGGATGATAAAAAAAAAAAGAACATACATGTGGTATCAAAGAATAAAATTGTTGCAAGTATTCTCATGTTTTACAATGGATGCAACTAGATAAGCTTATTTAAAAAGGTTTAAATATCAGAACAGAAGGCCATTTAAAACTGAAAGTACCAAAATGTAATATTGTATGCTATGAAACCTGCTAGAATGTGTAAAGGTTTTTCTCGTTTGTTCCTTTGGGTTTCCTCCCCAGTGTGAGTTTTATTGGGAACGGGTGGAGGGATATGCAGTTTGAGAGGTTGATGTTGTAAAATATATCATATCAGTCAACAGGCAATATATAAATATATATAGATATATTCATCAGAGAGGAGTCCCCCCCAGCCCATTTAAGATGTTCGTATTCAGTAGCATGCTTGGACTTGTGTGGACTGTTAATGTGTTTGTGTGTGTGTGTGTTCTGGGAGCCACATTTAGCATTTAGCTTTTTCCTAAGATGTTGGATACTCCACTGAAAACCTTTGTTCTGAGTATCGAAAAGTATAAAAACGTGCTTCAAAACTTTTCAAACCACTCCTGAAGCATTATCCACTACTCAACAAACAGTGTGAAAACTCAACTGCCAGTGTTTTAGGTATATTTTTCCAAAATACTGCGCTAGTTGTGCACAAAAAATATGCTAACAATAAATAAATAAAAAATTTTACTCTTTGGAACATACTGGGCACAGTTGGACAGAGAATAAGTGGACAATGCTTATGGAGTGGTAGAAGTGATGAGGATGTTTTGATACAGTTTTTCGCGGTGAAACCATCGTGTATGTGTATCCAAGCTAACCTCGGCAGCTGTCCTCCTGCAAATTTCCATCTTGTAACACCTCTTCCCAATGTACAGAGAGCTCTAATGAATAGAGGGCAAAAAATTGTCCACATGTACCACAAGCAATGTTGCCCACGTTGACTGGAGGGGAAACAGAAACGTCAAGGTTGATTTTGTCCAATGAAAATATGTTGGAGTTACGCGAAACTTGGAACCAGGGCAAGAGTGTCTTAGCCTGTTTGCTGAGTCACGTAGCAGGTTAGGACACCCCCATTGGGAAAAACTCAAACAATCAGATACTTGCTCGTTAGCCCTATTCTAGGCAATGCGACGAGAAAAACTTTGTTTGAATAAAGTTGAAAATGTTTAACTGTTGGGAACTCGTGTGATCTGCCGAAAAGTGACTTTGTGGTGTGAAGGAAGTTTAGTGTATTCCTGCAGTGGATGAACTGATGTGGAGGAAAAAATCTTTGTAACTTGTTACTTTCTCAGATCCATTTTTTCTATGTCCCTTGCCTCCAGGATCACAGATACAAAGTCGAAGTACTGCTTGGCACAATAGATGTTTGATAATGAGAAAGCTAACGTTACTCGCTAGCTTGCGACAAGTTAAAAGAGGCAAAGGTTACGTTGCTGTGTTTGATACTCAACGCATACAATTCTGGTTAAGTATACGTTTAAAAACACTTGGTTTAGCAAACATTGGAAAGAGAAAAAAGCCAGAAACACCCCTCCTCCGGCTGCCGAGACTGTAAAGTAGTTACTTGCCACGTTTTCCTTTGTCCAGAGAAACTTCACGTTTTATTGTGGAAAAGGCCGTTGCTTGCTGATATTTAATGAATATTAAAAGGGCCAGTTGTATTTCAGTATTGTATCCTGTCTGAATAAGTCTTATCATTGGTTAGTAATGTTTAATTGAGCCATGCACTGAGTAGTGTTGTGTATATGCCATATGTTGCTGTTTTAGCTCTCACTGTCGACTGGTGAAATTTTCTGACTTCGAAGTAGTGATACTTTTCCTTTAAAGATGCCAATGTGAAGCCGCCGTGTTTGTGATGTTTAGCTGTAGCTGTTAGTCGTCAACTGAGAAAAAAGAACTTTATCCGTTTCCTCCTCTGGTGCAATGTAAAACCCTCCAATGGCGAATGGCTTTGCAAAAAACTTAAACCCACCCTTTTCACTTTTATTTCCTCCCCTCCTTCCCCTTTCCTGGCCAACAAGTTGTATATTGCACTATAATGCGTTTTCTGTGATGCAAACGCTTGACTTTGTGTTTTTTTTTTTCTACTATAATTTGCTGTTGTATAGGGTTATAGGGTTGTCAAATTAATTGATTTATATCAAAATTATTTATCAGAGAAAAAAATAATAAATACATTAGTCTGTCCTAAAACTGTTTAACTTATTGGGATTGTATGTTTGCGAGTGTTGAAGCACAAACAATACTTCCATGTGTACCTAACATGTACTAAGGCTGTCTAATAAATTGGCTTCCATTACATTAAAGACTCAATTCTTTACTTTTTAGTAGTTTCTTTAAAAAAGCACAGCGATACCAAATGTTCATTCCCACCTTTATTTGGCTCCTTAGGGACAACTGAAAAGCTTCCCTGCAAATTAAAACAGCACCTGCAATTTGAGAAATAATGGTACAAAAGTAAAAATGATAAGTTAACTGGTAAAAAAAATGGTAAGTTAAAAATAAAATTCACTTAAAACATAGACAGTTCTATGGTGTGTTTCAACCAAATATAATGCATACTTTTTTCTGTAAAAATAGTCCTAATCCTCTGTTCCCCCCTGTATATAAAGAGCCACACACCTTTGTCACTGCAGTCTGTAAATGTTTGCTCCACATAAAACAAATCAGTTACAGTAGACTGGCTCATGCAGTTACACTTGCAATCCTACGATAAAATACTGTACAGATTTTAACTCGAAAACTTCACAATGACAACAGGTGTAGTTTATACATACAAAATGACTAACAACATAGAAGCAGACTAATTGAGGATATGCAGCATCTCAGGTCCTTGGGGGCCAGCCTCTTTTCGTAATATATAAAGATAAAGAGAGATAAGCCTTTGACATTTACAAAATAGATCCATGGTCGTGTCTTGTTTGACAATCCAAAACTGACTCCATCACAACAATGAGCGACTGCATTCACACAAAAAAAATGTCTACAGCAGCTAAAATAACACTGAAATCGTGACTTTATTTTTAGATTTCTGTAAACTAAAAAAGCACTTAAACACAACTGCTTTATCAATAAACAGACACATGATCAATAAATAGCTCAAAATAACTGAGTAATAACTCATGAGAGCTTTAACTTCTCATGTCCAGTGAAAGTAATTATCTTAACTTTAAAATCAATATGATCAACATCATCTACTGATCTACAGTACTACACCATTTTCGAAACTATGTCATCTCAACGTATGCCAGCATATCTTTTGATAAATTCATGTTTGGCCCCCAGAGACCTAAATGTTGCCATAAATTTACATATAATAAAAATGCATCATAAGAACCTTTGGCAGCATTTTGTTTCTCCAAACTTAGGAAACAAAGAATGTTACAAAGCAGAGAATGACTTTCGACTTTTTATTCACTTGGTCATGCGCTCACTGCTTGTGGCTCCTGGTGATGTGGACAGCCTCATTCTGCAGCTGAACTGGCGCTTGGTCTAATCTGCCTGGGAAGTGAGTTCAGACCAGACTAGTAGCTGCAGGACTGAGTCAGCTGCTCCTGGTAGTGCAGTCCAGTAGCCAGAGAGTGAGCCATGTGTCTAGAGGTGTGTTTCATGTGCCGGGCTGCTCTGATGGCTCTGTTCAGAGAGCTGTCCAAAGAGCGCTGCTTGTCAGCAGACATGGAGCGTCTAGTCCTCGCCCTCACCTCCCTGTGACCTCTGACCCCCGAGGATGTGCCAGTGTCGTTGCTAGGAGACACGTAGAGGGGCGTCGAGTACAACCTGAAGAAAGGGTGAGTTTGATGACAAAGACAAATGAGTATGACAGTTCAGAAAGTACTAAATATTATTTTTTTGCAGTCTGTATACAAGTGCCACATATCAATTAATTTTTGTCTTTGTATCAACAGGAAATGACAGAATATGGATGCTGATGGATGCCAATTCAACTTCACAAAGTCAAAGAAAAATATGTTGTCAGAGAAAAAGTACTTTATTTGTCATCTGAGAACCATCTCAAGATGTTTCATCAACGTAATGTGTTCAATGTGTTTCCAGCTGTGAGAAGGCCCTCTATTTCCTTGGTGTATTGTATTGATTGACAGTCATGTCCATCCACAGCATTAATATGTACACTGAAATCTTAGAAAGTACACTTACTTTGGTGTGTAAGTGTAAGCTTCCATTCCATTCTTCTTTTTAGGACCTCATTCTCTTCTGACAATAAGAGTCTGTTTTGTGTTTTATATATCGTATGTTTTTACAAATACTTAAAAAGTCATACCATGATATTTCCTGTTAGTACACAATTATTTCTTGAAAACTAACAGCAAAAGAAATATATTATTACAACTGTGTGTAGTACATATCAGAGGTGGGACCAAGTCATCGTTTTACAAGTCACAAGTAAGTCTCGAGTCTTAGCACTCAAGTCCCAAGTCCAGGCCGATCATGACGGTCCGAGTCTCAAGTCTCAAGTCAAGTCCCAGGTCAAGGCCAAGTCCTAAATGTTGAGTTTCAAGTCCTAAACAAGTCATAATGCGGTCTTTACCAAATTTAAAACCATTTCATACGTTAAGTTAAAAATCAAAAAAATTAATTGAATGAAGCATTAGCCTGTACAGAAAGAAGGCAGAGGTGCAGTTTCACACAACAAATGTTCTATAATTTCATGAATTGAAATGTTCATGTAGGGCTGCTAATTATTTTGGTCAATATTGAGATCACAATTATTTAACAGGATTACTCTTTAATTTTAAGCTTCTTTATTGATTAGAAATATAAAAGTGGCGCCTCCAACAGGAGATGCCCCAGCTACAGATACCATCCAAAGGATAAAAAACCCAATAAAGCACACAGCTTATTTCCATTGTGGTCCTTTATTATTGGCTTAGGAATATACTGACCTTTTAAAATGTAATACTTTCTTTTTAAAAACTACTGTATATGCATTACGCCAAAATCCCAAATAGCCCATTATTACACATTATTAACTTTATGTGACAGATGGGTCACTGGTTGTGTCTGTGTGTGTGTGCGTGTGTGCGTGTGTGCGCGTGCACACCGAGGGGAGCAGAGCAGGTGACAGATGTTACGAAGTTACGTTAGAGAACGCTGAAAAAGAAGTTTTGTGTTTTGTTGGAAGATGCAGTGACTTAAACCGACGGTGAGAAAACTATAAATCGCTATGACGTTAGAAGACGCAGACACAGTGGATATTTTACAAGCACTGATAATGTAAAGCAACATTGAACTCACCTGGTTTAGAATAAATAATATCCATTCATCCATTAACTATACCCGCTTCTGCTTTAGCCTAAAGTTGGCTGCTATTGTTAAATATAAAGTTTTAACCCCCTAGGATATTAGGATATGTTTGGGCATGGGGGGAGAGTCAAGTCAGCTCGAGTCAAAAGGCTCAAGTCCAAGTGAAGTCATGAGTCACTCTTGTGAAAGTCAAAGTCGAGTTGCAAGTCTTCTTTGATTTTGTCAAATTGGACTCGAGTCCAAGTCATATGACTCGAGTCCACACCTCTGGTATATACTGTTTATAACTTGTATGCGAGAAATGTCATTAAGATTGGAGAGAGGCCAGTAGGTGAAATCAACCTAATGGGCACATCATTATACTGTATGTGTAGTGAGATGGCAGGTTACTTACAGGAGTGGTGGCGGACACACTGGCATGCACTGCAGCAGTGCAGTTGGAGTTGCAGCTGCAAAGTGACTGCTCTTTGCTGCTCTGTCAGGGGTCTCGGCTGGTTGGTAGCTTGTGTGTGTGGGGGAGTCTGAATCACAGAGCAGGCCAGGAGCTCCATTAGCACTTCAGATAATTTAATGGTATTTTTTATGTAGCCTGAACTGATTTATGTGCTGAGTGCAGTGAAAGTTTGCGCTAGTTTGCTAATACTGAACAACAAACTCTCAGTTATCATGGATTATATCACCAACCACACACAGAGCAAACGTCTGGAGTCTAAAGAGGTAACTGTTCACACCTTTCTCAGAAAGCATTCAAAAGGGTCTGAGCAGCATCACAGCTTTGATCACATGGTATCTAACCTGGCCCAGTGCTTTGGTACGGATCAGGACATCCACAGAGAAGACGGTGACGACAGCGGGAGGAGTGGGTCGGCTCTGTGTCGCCACCAACTGGTCCTGACAGTAAACACAAGTAGGATTTAGGGAGGCTAAACAACAACTCCTGCAGTACAATTACTGAGGACCAAACTGAACAATGGATATTACCCTCTTTGTCTGAACGCAATGAAAGTCAAGTAAGAACAAACACACAGAAAAGACGAAAACACAAATGTCCTGCACAGGATAGAAAGGAGCCTCCTTACTTTCAGGTCGCCCTCGGTGACGTGACAAACACTGAGGACAAAGAGGAGCGTGACGACTTCTGCTGTCAGGTTCATCTGCTGTTTCAGACACTTGTACAGACACACCAGGATGTTGCCCTGCAACACACACAGAGACACTCACCAGCGGGGGTAGGCACAATCTGGTCTTTCAAATGCACTGAGATAATCAGTGCATTAAATAACACAACACAACGTCTTAAACAGTTTTTATTAAAGGTCTGTGTTGACATGCACACATGTAGCTATGAATTTGCGTGTTTCTGAGTGTATGTAATCTATGAAAAATAGTGTCTCACATTTTTGGAGAGTATTTGGAAGCTGGTGAGAGCAGGAGAGACTGAATTTAGCTATAAAAGGCTTGTATGAGCAATGGCAGAAGCTCTGTTCATGCAGTAATTCTACTAGTGCTGTAGTGAGTGCTTAATAAAGCCACACATTCTTGAAAGAAACTACAAAACATGGCTTTACATTGAAATAAAATGTTCTGTCAGATAACTGCTTGCTATTACTGTGGTCTGAATTAACTTAGTGCTCAATCACATGTATTTCTATTCTGAACTGCATTGACACGGCACTGGGCTGTCCTGTTGATTAGACAAACGGACTACAAGCTGCAGGTTCTTCACTGAACACAACACTGAACTCCAACCTGCTCAGTCACTGGAGGTTCATGTAGACTGGACTGGCAGCTAAAACGTCTTAAGATGCCTAAAATGTCGACTGCATTTGACGAATCAAAATGTCTGCAGTGGAGGGATGGGTGTTCTTACTGGGGTGTGTTCTGCTGCGGACTGCTTTTGTGTGGGAACCACAGCTTTCTGGTACTGCAGCAGATGTTTGAGTACATCTGGACACCAGGGGCCGGGACGTAGAAGGCTCTGTCACTTCAAACAAAAACACATGCATTAAATGATATGCTATATTGTTCAAATCACATGCTTTTTTATCATGTGCTTGCATATGTGTCTATATATATATTCTTTGAACAAGTCAAAATGGATACATGTTTTCTATGCATCTTCATCACCATGCACATATGTTTAGTGTTTATGCGTTACTCTCTTTGGACGAATACCTGAGTATGACTAAATGAAATGAATTACCACAGGGCTTGTGTGTTTGTATGTTAATAAACCGTTAACTTGTTTATTCACCTTGTCCTTCACTGAAGAGGACACTACACACATATGGTATTAGTATTTTACTACTGCATTATACAAGATCTTTCAAGCAAAGCTCTGAGTTAAGGGTCAAGTACAGATCAACTTACACATGTTAGGTTGTGGTTCTTGTCTGCGTGTAGAAGGTGGTATTTTCCTGGTTGTTCGTCTCAGTGTAGACTCCTCAACCTCCTCAACCGTCTGTCTGTCTCTTCTTCCCCTGCTGGCATCGCTCAATCGCACCCCAGACCTGAGCAATGGGAGACCAAATTAAGTACAAGCTGGTGTGAAAAAGCAGACGTATAGTGTATAATTATACAGTATAGCGTCTATGGATCTATATAGTGTGTGTGAATGTCTATAGCTATGAGCTCTATCCTGTTGCTTCACTCTGCAGACAAACTGCCGTGGACTGGGCAGTGTTGCTGTGGGACAGGTGGACTGTGTGGTCACACCTGGAAAATTAAGAAACCAACCTGACGCGAGGTGTAGACGCATTGAGGTGAGCGTAGTTCTCCTGGGCTAAAGCTGCTCTCACAGAACTCAGAGGCTTCTTATTTCTCAGACAGCTTTCTAGTCTCTCCTTCAGTCTGGTCACCTCGGTCTGCAGCGTCTGGATTGCATCACTAAAAAAATACACACAAAAAGATGTGTAAAATCACATGAAAAAATCCAGTTGGAGGTCATGTTTTTGTTTAGTGTACTTTACAATTTTTCACCACCACACATTTCCAAGGTCAAGTAGTGAAGTCTAGCTAATGTGACCACTGTAGTGCTGCACTGTGGAAATAATTATGCAAAGGACCAAAGTGCCAGGTGACTTGCCAAGTATCTGTGCAGCAGTCAGTCCAAATGTACATACACACACACTTTGAAAAGACTCATGCAACACCACACCATGCAGAAAACAATACAGAGTACCTCCTAATATGCAACCACATTCAATAGCAGCCGATTCTGTAATAAAGTACATAAAAGAATATGATGATAGAAACATTAAGGATAGTTGAGCATTTCATGAGATGTGTGGTGAGGTGATGTTGCAAGGTAAATGTACAGGAGAATTTCAGGAAATGTATGAAAATACTATTTTCATTTCATTCACAATTTCCGTTCAGGAGTCTCTGCAGGGAGACATAACCCTGGCCTTGTTTGCACAGCTATTTCATTGCAGCTGCTGCTACACACACACTCACTTGCGATTGGCCCCCTGACTGGAGCTCAGTGCTCTGAGAGAATCGCCATGGTAATACCATGCAGTGGGGGAGCTTGGACTGGAGCTGGTAGATTCTATGCACTGGTTATTTTGCCCATCTTCAGACAGAGTGTGATCTGTAGAGACAGACAGGAGCAGGCTGGCAGGTTAAATACACATTAAGAGTGATAACATAGTAGGAGAGTAACATGACAACATGATTTTAATAAGAAAAAAAAGAACATATACACTCACTGCTGTCACTCTCAAGCCCAAACTCACTGGTCCCTGCATTGGATTGTTCTGTCTGACTGACCCAGCGCTGTGGAGAGCAGGAGAAGGTGCGTCTCCTCTGCCCCTGTCTGGTTCTCCTCGGATGGACGGGGCTGAGCCGGGAGCCCCCCTTGGGCTCCATAGCAGTGCGACTGTGTGACGGCGAAGACGCAGGAGATGGTGCTGAGACTGGGCCTGTCTGAGGCTTCTCAGGTTTCCCCTCCTGAGGCACTGAAACACTGTCGCACCATGGAAGGATAGTCAAACACACAAAGACGGAACAGATCAGAATTGGAGCGAAAGACAGACATCCTCTGCTTGAATGAAAACAGTACTAACAAAAGAGAACCTGGGCCTTTGCTGTTGTAGGATCAGACATTAGCATGCTGTGTGTGTGTGCGTGTGTTTAATGGGTGGGGGGTGGAACATGGGGTAAAATTTATGGTGCAGTAAATTTGGTGTGTGTGGAGGCATAGAAGCAGTGTTGGACCTCCTCACCTCTCTGAGGCCCTCTGGTGGAGAGGACTGGGAGCAGCTGCAGGAGTCAGACGGCTGCTCTCTGAACCGACAAACCCGCTGTCCGTCTCTGGAGAGATGATTCCATCCTGGTCAGCACAACACAGAACAAAGATTATGCAACATTTATCTATACGCATTCTGCACGTAGAAGTAACATTGACACATTAACCGGTAATATTTCTTTTTATTCAGTGGTGCATTGTCGTGGTTTAATAAAAACAATAGCTGTTACACTGATATCAAGAAGGAATTGATAAAAACACCCATCAAACAATGGGCAATCAAACTATGAGATTACGTAAGTCTACACTTACTTGTCAACTGAAAGTCTAGTAGCTTAAAGGTACTTGGGAGCTCAGTGTTTTGACCTTTAAAACAACTCGTAATTTGCAACACTTTTTTTTGTTTTGTGATTACGTAAGCCAACATCACCAAATGTCCCACTCTCCTCTTAATGCATCTAAAACATATATCAGGGGAACAGTGTTTTGTGGTTTCAATGTAGATTTCTGCACAAGCTATTTTAGGATTAACAGTATTCATTTTGTTTTCCTGTGTGTGAGTCTCTTAGCTCAAAACATATAAAAACATTCAGAATTAAAAAGATCATCTAGGGATGGATGAGTATGGCTGCAGTCATGGTTAATTTGATTTTGTTAACAAGTTTAGTGGTATTTAAGGAACAAACTTCAGTGAGATGTACTACTATTTTGACTGGAGAACAATGAAAACTGCAGAAAAAGCTGCAAAATTTTAAAAGCATGATGAGCTGTGAAGCTCTAGATTTGAGTCTCACATAACTCTAAACCTTCTGACACCTAGACTCTGCACATGATAAAATGTCTGCAATGATAACACACGGTCTCACTTAAACATGCAATATTTGTGAATGAACCACTGTAGAATCAATCACAATATAAACTGACCTGAGAGAGGACTCCGCTGCTGTTTCCACTATGGAGTTTGGAGCTCCTCGTCTCCGGTGCAGTGATGTCTCCCAGACTGCTCAGACTGCTGCTGTGGGGCTTTCCACCTCTAACCTCATTCTGCTACTGGCTGGACGAACGCGGGGCATGGTTGACTGGGCAGAGGCCTTGCATGAAGGAGATCTGGACTCCTTTTTGCTGGTGCAAACAGGCAGAGAGTCCTGATAATCTGATTTGGCTTTCCTGTCATGTACAGAGACTTTAGTACAGTGGTGCTAGTGAAATCAGCTTCCCCTCAGAAATACCTTTGTTTGTATGTGTGGTTGTTTTTTGTAGGTATTCATTATATCTAATTTCTTAAAAAGACAGCTAAAATAGCAGTATTATTTTACCATTCACGATAAAGATAATTATAATTAGACAGGAAAGGACAAATTCTTAAACACACTGAGGCCTCAGTGCTGCAGAGTTCAAGACCAACCTTAACTGTGCTGCTGATTAACTACAGCTCTGGAGACTAACCTCTTTGGAAGACTCTTCTGTACTTCCAGGTTACCAGTTCCTCGACCCTGTCTTTCTTTCCTCTCATCCCCAAGCTGCATGTTTGTTCTTAAGGCAGCAGAAACGGGAGCTCCTTCCCTCTGGCTATGGTCTAAAAGTTTTGGAAGCTCCTTGAAGCTTTGGTAGCTAAACAGAAGTAGGAAAGACATTCAGGTTGAAATAATGAAAGTCCAGATTCCTTATTTTCCATCTCCTATCTCCATTCCAGCAGTAAGCAAAAAAATCTAAATAATTTTGGGTAAGAATATCTCCTGTTTATAGAAATCCTTCAGAGTCAGATGGTCACACTTCACACAAAACCACCACTCACTGATCGTTAGTGTGACGAAGTCTTGTTCAACACGTCTGTATTTGCCATTCAGAGCTTTGAGGTAGAGAGAATTCAGAGTTTCTTCATCCTCAGTCTCTGCCTCCTCTTCATCACTTTCTTCACTGGCTGAGCTCACCTCCACCACCGCTGCCTCTCCTGGATCAACCAGCAAAGGCACAGGTGGGCTCTGTGAGGAGATGAATTTAAATCATTATATAAAATCTGATGAGGCTGCAAGTGTGTGTTCCCTGCGAAACAATTTTTACAGATGAGGCAACATAAACGCAGATGATGACTGACCTACACTTCCACATGAACAATTATCATTTTAAACAAGCACCAGTTACGGCTTTGGAACGGCAAGTAGAATTATAATTAAATAATTAAAGTACTTTTATTATTGATTAATAGACAATTCTTTGGAGGTGGGTCATTTAATTGTTTCGTATCTTAAATCCATGGTAAGCTCCATGGCAAACAGCCCAAAGCTTAAAGATATTCAGTCTACACTGATACAAAACAATCTTGTTTTGCTTGATGTATGATAGGACAGGACTGGACTAGAACAAATCCAAAATGCAACATCCACTATTATCTCACATGTTTCCAATCAGGAACAAAAATGTTATTGTCTTCTATGGGTGTTTCTTTGTATGGGGTACACAACATGCCACAAATAAATTTATTCTCTCATATCTCTTCCAGAATTACCTTATCATGGACAATCCCTTACAAGACTTTCTCTTGGCGCTACTGATGCAGAGAGACATGCTGACGACCTGCAGTGTCTCACACTACATGCACACCTACAACAGTTGAGCAGATTTTCTGTGCATTTCAAGGACGGATTGCATTAATACAGACAGAGCTGTGTGACGGTACCTGTGGGTGAGTCAGAGTTTCTCCCCCCTCAGAGGGAACAGATAAAGGGGTGTGGTGACGAGGTGGAGAGGGAGGAGCCTCACAGGTGGGCTGCTCCTGCCGCGTCTGTTCCACATGCTCCTTCAGATCTTCCATATGCAGCCCACACTGAAAGATGAGCCCCCCAGCTCCCTGATACAAACACATGCAGACAAACAGCCGAAACAATTAAAAAAATACAGAATATAAAATTTAATCTATGCCCCATTTATTTTGGACATCACTCCCACCGTTCTGGGTCAAAGTGGTTGATTTCCACGTCTCGCTGCTGCAGGAGTTTGTGTTCATCCCTCGCTAACAGGTAGCCCCTTTCTAAAGAATCGAGCCCTGCAGCAAGCTGTGAGAGGCCCTGCCGAAGAGCACTGGTTCATTAGTTTGCATAGGAGGCAGCCATGAGAAGTAGTTCTGTATGGGTGACAGACTTAAACTGTGAGTTTGTTGCTCTTACCTTCATCTGTTCAAAAGGTTTGAGTTTTTCGCTCTTTAGGAGATCCTCAAAAGTCTGCATCTGAATAAAGAACATAAAAAAACCTTCTCTGATTACCTTCTAAAGTCACATCATCCAACAGGAATCTCCATCCCTTTCACTTTTTTAATAGGTCATGTACCTGCTGGAGGAACTTGTCGGCCTGACTGTAGAGAATCTTGGCCAGCTGCTGTCCCACCTGAGGTTCCGGGCTTCTTGTGGAAGGACCGGCAGATGCACTTCCTGTTAAGTAGACAGACAAGTGCAGAGGAAAGAAGAGTTATATAAATGCAGGTTGTTCAGAATGACGCAACATGAGTAGCAGCTGATTGATAGATGAAAGCCAGTTGATCTGTTTGTATGGCATGTTGATATAAAACATTTGAGAGAATATTTAATTGCACAGCAATAAACCAGAAGAGCAGCTGATTCAATGATATATGATGTGTGAAATGATGAATCTGACAGCAGTGGAACATTGAATAAGATGAATGTACTCTGATGACTGCTGTGTCCATTTGGATGAAGAGAGGCTGAGTTGATCTCTGTTCTGAGCCCTTGGAAAATCCAGCGTCATGACCTTTGAAGTGCCATGGTGTAGTCCTGACTGCACTGGGTGGCCGGGCTTTGGGGGTCGGAGTACAGGTTCACCTAGTGGAGATATGTGAAATAACAACAAGCATGAACATGACCCGTCATCCATTATCACTGGCCCACCTGCTTACATTAGAACTTAAA